CAAAAATCTGACAAGGGTTCCTAAGGACCAACAGCTCTCACCTCGTGTGGCATGCTCTGTCTATACCCCTCAGCACCACTGACTGGGCAAAGCAACGTGTTCCAGAAGGCTCCCCACATGCAGACAGTGGGGTCCATGGGGTGGCTCCTCCAAACTGCATCAGGGAATCAGGAAGGGACTGGCCTGGAGCCAAGGGGAAAGGAATGGTTGCTCCTGCTGTCACCACCTAAAGAGAAGGAAGAGAACACGTTAGAGGACATTTTCTCAGCACTGACCCAACCCCTCACAAAGCTTCATACCTTTTTCCCACAGAAGCTCAGCATGTCAGCCAGATGAACCATGGAAACTGGAGAGGAACACAGGCGATAAGGAACAGTGACTGTGTCCAGGGCTGTAGCCAGGATGGCACTGCAGTGGAAGGGCAGAGTGGCCTGTAAGAAGACACCAAGAGGGGCACTTGGCCTCAGGCCTGGAAAAGAATGTGTGGAGGCAGAATATTAACACCAGAAAGATCCAGGGGACAAAGCAGGGGTATGTCTGGCCTCTGGCTGGACAAGCATAGGGCATAGGACAGTGTGATCTGAGAAGCCACATCACAGCTGAGTTCAAGCTCGGGCCTCAGGAACAGAGCCAGTAACAGACAGCGGCTGACTGGGAGTATGAGGAGGCCCCGTAGCCTGCTGCAGTCAGAACGAGCACCGAGACTTACATCGTAATGCAGGTAAGGGAAGTTGACAGGTGGCTCAGGTCGCAGGCCCAGGCTCCCACCCAAGGACAAAGGACAGACGAGAGAGCTGTGAGCAGTCAGGTGTACGAGACCAAAAGCTGTGTTTAATAGACGATAGATGTTTCTCTGGGCCTCCTGGTGAAGAAAAAGAGTAGTTTGCATTAAGCAACTCTCCCCCTGGGATTCTCATTTCTCCCTCCCCACCGTGTGACTGCTTACTCCTCCAAGTTCCACTCACCCCACGATGGTAGGGACCAGGTAGCAGGCCCCACGTTATTATTCCCCGCCCTGAATATTCATCTTGTAGCAGCTCTGCCGCCTTCGCGCCTACCCCAGAGAAGCCATCGTGCAGGTCACACAGGATCTGGAAGCCCTGAGCGGAGGTGAGTGATGAAAAATAGTTAGGGAGTAGGATGAGAAGAGCTTCTACTCTGGAGTGCACGTTGCCACGCCGCTACCTGCAAGTAGTCACATTCCTCCACGTAGAAGTGCAGCCTGTCCTCCAGCTCTTCCTGGTACTTGGGTTCCTTTAGGACACTTTCCCCTTGGCCAAAAGCTTCCAGCCGACCTGCTTCCCTGCCACAAGTAAACACAATCCAAGACTTACATCTCTTCCCTCAGCTCCTCAACCTCTTGTCCTGGGGGAGGGCAGGGAAGATGGCCTCAAGAGCCTCATCCTGCATTGGTGGGGACCCACGTTTCTTGCCTCACAGCCTCTGGGGTCCCCATACCCATCATGGTTGTACTTCTGAATCATACAGATGCTCCGGGGATGGAGATGGACTCTGAGGAAGTCTGACCAGACCCTGATGCTGGCCTCTGTAGGGATAAGTGGTTTTGGAGTTGTAGCGGTGGTGAGTGGTGGGGAACCTGAAGACAAGCAGAGGAAATGTACCTTTTTCCATGTTTCTGCTCCCCAGACCCGCATCCATCAGTATCTGGAGAAGTCTCACCTTTGCCATTGGGAATGGATTTGACCCTCCAAACACCATCACTACTCAGCACTCCCTGGGAGGGGTGAAGAAAAATCTACATTTAGTTCCGGGCAGTTTAGAGGTAAAGGTTGGTTCATCCTTCTTGAGTTGGCTGGCCACACCGCACA